CTGAAGCCGTTAGAGATGCATATGAATTTATAGTAAATTATCTTGTGTGCACAAGATAAAAAATATTTCCTTTTGGGGGATTTAGGGGCTCCGTATGTTTCTTTTCCAGTGTCTGCTAATATCCCTAACAAAATCATTAATTGAAATGTTGGACATAACTATTTAAATGTTTATTTGGGCTGGCAAGAAACCAAAAGCACATAGGGCAGTACTACAGAGAATCAAACAGGACAGGGGTCTTTTATTTTATTATTAGGCAGCCAGTATTTAAAAAAATCCATTCCTGGTTACCAGACCTCAATACAACTGACCATGTGTTTCTGCTAAAGACCAGGCTAAAACCAGAAAGGCACCAACAGTGAGAAGTTAAGATAGCTGCAGTGCAGGCCTGGCAGAGCATCACTATGGAAGATAGCAACACAAGGGAGACTTCATACTATGGATGAGCGAGTATAACATTATCTGTATCTGTTAAACCAGCTACATTATCTGTATTTGTGTCTGTGCTCACAAGAGGTAGGGTTAAACCTGAAGAGGAGCAATGTTTTTGATCACAAGAGTAAGAAAACTATTTAAGTTGGTATATTTACAAGTACAGATATTGATCATCTGTACCGGATACTCATTTCAGCCAAATACTCGCTGCTCAACCCTACTTCATACATTCATAGATAAAATCTCCAACCAAATATATATATAAAAAATTACTACAACCATTTTTCATGCCATGAGATTAAGAAACTACATAGTGATGATTATACTATTATCATTTTGATTTGTAGCACCTTGTATTAATTTGATGTGATTTATACAGTATTCCAGAGCCACTTTTCCTCTCATGCGTGAAAGTACAAACTTTAACACACCCTAATAATTAACCCAGTTCTAACCCAAAACGTTTTTCAGATAAATAAAGTTTTCATTTCTCTGGAAGGTCTATTTTGACCTGAATTGCAATTTCTTATGCAGAATAGAGCAAGAGACAGATAGAGAGATAAACCTGCACGTAATTTCTGTCTCTGTGAGCTTTTTCAGATAACACCAAATACGTACATTTGCAGGCAGAGTCAACAGATCAATGCCTTTTACGCAATGAATATGGTCCTGGGGCCTTACAAATACCCACAGGACAGTTGATCATCACAGAACAGACTGCAAGACTGCAAGCAGCGAACAAGATTATTTCTCTGATTTTTAGAAAGCCAAGGCAACAGTGAGTGGACAGACTAGTTTCAATTGCGGAAAAACAGAAAACCTACAGTCAGAAAACTATTTTTACTGCTGCTGGGCTAATCTGCAACATGCAAGCTGTGCAGTGTTCAATGTGTGCCAGCCGTGCTTCTGGAGCACTTCTGCGCAATCAGACAGACATTTCACTGCTGCGGACCAACAAGAGTTTGTTCAGGAGAGGAGCAGCCTGTATCCGTTTGAGGTATGTTATGAATAATTGCTTGCTGAAATTACCAGAATGTAGCCTGAATTGTTAGTAGTGCAGAAAGCGTATAATGGAAAATGCAATCCAATAGTACAGTCAAAATGTACCATGTGTAACATTGACAGTCACATTAAGTTCTCAAATACTATTGATCATGACTTATATATATATAATAACCTGCTTTCATTCTTTCCTATTTTTTTTTTACAGCAGTTCTGAGAGTGCCCCACTGAGCAGCAGGAAGCCTGGAGTCCAGAAGTTGAGGGAATGGAAAGATACTTCACACATGAGCATAGCATCTTTAAATGTTGGTCGCAGGCTTTCTGCTTTCCCTTTTTCACAGGTGGGTCAGTCTCCTACCAGAGATAGCATAACATAGTACCAGCACCAGACCAATTAGCTGCAGCTACACAAATATTGTGTCACAAAAGTTTGCTCTTGTTCTCCTTATTTCGTACGAGGAGAAATTGAAGAAAGGAGTTGAAATGCTAATTTTTTTTCCCCCTCTGTTTGTAGCAAGTGGAAAACCTCTCTCATGACTCCCTGATCAGAAGAGCAGCCTCAATGGTTACAGACAGTTCAAGTACCTACCTCTCCCAGACCACCCTGGCTCTCATAGATGCGCTTAGAGACTACTCAAAGGTAGGGTTTCATCTTATGTGAAGCATTATATCCATATTTTAGAACTCTTTTTTTTTTTTTTTTACCAATCACAGGCTGAGAGTTTAATTATTTTTTTGGGGGAAAAAATCAATTAATTAACGTTCACATTATTAGGGAAAAAGGCACAGATCTGATGCAATCAGTAGTAACACTTGTTCAAACATTGACATTGTCAATCACGTATTATTATTGTTTAAAAAACTGTCTAGTACCGTCCCTGACTGTCTGTCCTCTCTCTGTTTGCTAACAGGCTGTGCACACACGCATTGCTGTCCAAAGACGGTATTTAGCCTCAATGGGAAAACTGACCCCAGCAGAGGAGGATTCACTCCTGGAGGTGATCAATGGCCTGCGTGCACAGGTTAGTGTGTGTTGTCCTCTTTTGAGAAACGTTGAAAACAAACTTAAATCCACTCTAGCATTCAGTTTTTCCTGCTTAGATCAGCTTTTATATTGAGTTTTATTGAGTTATTCTCTTTGTCCTAACAGGTTAGTGACAGACTGGATGAATGCAAACGTTTTGAGTCAACCTGGATCAAAGCTGTCAACTTGTGTAAAATGGCAACTGAGGCAGCACACACCTCAGGTGAGTTAATATATGATTAATTGAGGCTTGATGTAATGTTGAAATACTGTTGTATTTATAATGGTGGAATAATGAAGGGATCTGTTACAAAAAGCAGATAAGCAGTAGGAAGTGTACAGAGCAGATGTTTTCACTCAGTAGAGCTTTATATTAAAAAAATGGATTTAGTGGTCAGGAGGCCCCTCTGAGAGGGTCCAAATCTAATGTTTTCACTTAAGCTGGTGTTGTGTCAACCCTTGGACTTCCTCACCAATTTGACAAAATGCTTTTTTTGCGCCTGTGTGTTTCCAGGAGCCGAGCAGGCGTCCATTACAGTTAGGACAAACATTCAAGTGGCCCAGTCGCAGGTGGAGGAGGCACGGAAACTGTCAGCGGATGCAGATAAGAAGTTGGCTGAGACTAAAGTAGAAGAGATCCAACTGAGGGCAGAATTTGCCTTTCGAGAAGATAGTGAGGAGCATGAGGTGCACGAGGCGTATCTTCGAGAGGACTAAGACAAATAGAGATACTGACAGTGAAAAAAAGTGCATGCTTTCACCTTTGAAAGCTTTGGGCTTTTAAACTTTTATTACCAGATTATGTCTCTATTCTGCTTTGAGCCTTTAAGGTGTTTACACGTTTGCAATCAAAATTTGAAAAGGAAATTAAATAAACTTCTATTTTTCTAATTCTTTACTTCTGCATAAATCATTATTTAAGACTATTTATTTGATTAGTGAATGTCAGCCTCTTTTGGAGCTTCTGGAAAATGATTATTGAATCTCCAGTATATATTGTATGGCAGTGGGACAACGTAGTTTATCTGATGTTTTATTGTAACAAAGTCATTTTTTTCTAAAACTGTTGTTTATTTGTTTTCACAAAGCAAAATAATAAAATCAATCTGATTGAATGTATGTGTTGATGGTTGACTTTAGTAACGAGGGATGGAGAGAGATGACATCCTTGCCTGGTCCTCTAATTTACTGTATGTGTGATTGTTTTTAAAAGAGAGTCTACTATTACTTGCGTACGTTGTCACTGATATCAAAGGATAAAATTATATAAGGTAATTTAATTGTCATTTTACAACGCAAGGTTTAATGAAATTCAGAATATGAAAAGCTAATGAACACTTGTTCTAAAATAAGCAATACAAGACTTCAGTATAGGCAAAGGTAATACATATGAGGCATAGGAGTATTTGTTGTCAGTACACAACATAAATAGTTTTGGGGTTTAAAGGTCCAGTGTGTACGATTTAGTGGCATCTTACAGTGTAGTTGCAGATCACGACTCTGCCACTTCACCCTCCCCTTCCATGTGCAAAAAATGAAAACACCCCTATCTACAGCCAGTGTTTGGTTTGTCTGTTCTGGGCTGGTGTAGAAACATGGCAGCAAAACAATATAAAACACATAATGATTCCTATATTGAGGTGAATATACAATAATGAAAACATAACTGAATATAATATTCAATTTCTAACAATAGGTCCTCCTAAATGATACACACTGGACCTTCCACATGTGTCTATAACAAAAAATAATACACAACTTGACCTGCAGCGCATCAATAACTCAAATAAACATGGATGTAAGAAAACATAACTGGTCTTATTCTTTTGCTGCTTAAATTGTGTCTGTTTTAATTTTCCATGTGGGGTTAACAGTTGTTTATTTTTTATAGCAATGTAATCAAAGTCAGGCTTATAATAGGAAACAAAATTCGAAGAACACTTTTTGTCTAAATCTTGGTAAAGTAAAAGTTAATTAGAGCTATGCTCCTCTCAAAATCATAATGCTGTAGAGGAGTGCAGTCTTTTCCTTGCTTAGCCTGTCTCTACTTGCCAATAGCCACAGATGAGGTCAAGGTTTGAAATTATAATATTTAAAAATAATTTTAATAGATATGGTACATACTACATACATGCTTCTGTTGGAAAACAATTTCTTTAATTTGTCAAATAATATTTTTTTTATAGAAGCCAAAGAAGACATTGCTTTTCAGCTCAAGAAAAAACTTTTCATCCCTGAGGCCATAAATGAGAGGACTGAGACATCTTGGAAGCACAGACCCAACTTATGTAATTAAAGTAGCCTGACTTGAACGAAAGCAACAAGAAATCAGTTTGAAGTACAGTAGCTTCGTAATAAATTGGACAGCACAGGCTGGATGAGACAGAGGAGCAGCCTGGAAACCATTGAGACTTTTACTGTTTTTCAGCCCTTTCCATGTGAGCTTTTTATTCTAGTCCTGATGCGGCTTTGGCCCACTTCCATTATTTAACATAGAGAATACAATGATGATACACAATGATCAAGAAGTAAACTGACTAACAGCTGACCTAAGATGATGTGCACGATATTAACATGAACATCTCCACCCAGAGCAATAACCGCGTTGTTGTTTGTATGCACGCTAAGAGATGCTGAATGCAAAGAAGGCAGAGAGAATAACAATGCGGGTACAGAGCTGAGGCGTGATGAGAGGATGCACATGTATAGTGGCTGCGTGTGGAAGGCACAAGTTCTGTGTGCCGCAGGGGCATGCAAATGGCCACATATCGCTCCAGGGTCATTGCTGTCAGAGTAACTGGAGTGACTGTAAGATACACAAGTACAACGATGCAGATAATAATACACAACCAAACTTGCATAATGAAACGAAAATAGCTCATGATGAGAAGTATAGCAGACATGAATAACAACAAGCTATCAGACAGTAGTGTAACAGCAAATAAGATGTAGCGTGTAGTTGTGCGGAAGCACTCCTTTTTAAAAAAAGTCACAATGAGCAACATGTTAATGCAAAGAAACATTATCACCAGGATCTGCACAATAATGACCTGGTCATTGATCTGCCGTTGAAAGGACTCACCACCAACCAATGAGCTGTTATTTGCCATGTATCAGTTTTTAGCATTAAAGTGTCATTATTAAATATGTGTGTCAAAATAAATTGAGATTGTTTCAGTAAATTAATTCCAATCTCAAACTTCTCAAAGTAGTGATGCTGGTTAAAATACAGCACCCAACCCTTCCTGCTGATGTCTTCTGAGACAGGGCTGTGCATGATGACATTTTAAAGACTAGAAAGTCTCAGAATAGCTTTGCTCACCACTGTCGTCATCATAACTGACTGCTAGGCTAGTCCCCCTCATTGGCTAGCCATAGTCAGAAAGATAGAGATCTGGAGAGACTTTGGGGACTGAAGTTGGTCTTCTTCTGAAGTTTGCTTCAAATATAATTTTCTTTACTCCATATCCACCATGACAAGGGAAACATGGAAACCAGGACAGAACAAAGAAATCACAACCAAATAAACTAAAGGTCTTGTTACAAATTGTGCCATTACCCCCAAAGCAACATTATATAACTTCCGGCTCTGTGCCCCATAGGTCTGTTCCTGCATGGAACTTTGGGTACAAGGTCCTGCGAGAAGTGTGTAACACTTTAAACCAGTAGTCACACACCATCAACTATGTCACAGATTTTGGTGAAACTTTTCTGGTTTTTCCTATGATGTCCTCTGGCTGATCCGATTCAACTCTCCAGTTCAACTCTCAGTGAGTTTCTTGGACAGTAAAGTAATACTAAATGTAGCTGCCTTAAGTTAGTTAGCTCACAGTTAACTGTGCTGTCTGGACCGCGAGCTCAGAGCACTGGGGGAATGTCAGTATTTACACTGGTGGCACAAAGGGGAAGAGACAAAGGACATTGAGTAGAGAGTGACTGTACAAGTTAGAGCTTTGTGAAATAAAAAGCTTCAGATAGACAGCAAGCTGCCTTCTTGGTATTGGACTAATAAATAATATTAGCTGACTTGCTATGTCATTTGTTGTTGCACTTGCTTGATGTTTGGCTTTTAGCAAAATTGTCGGCTTGTACAGCCGACCCTGTTTACAACAGGGGCATTGCACTATCGCCAAATCACAACAAATACCAAATCTTATATAATGTTGCTGTAATGGTTGTCATCCTTACAATCCCCCTCTATAATAAGGCTTGTATTACACAGAAGTTCACACTGGTTGATCTGCAGGGTGGGCTCACTTGTTGCTGGTTCAGAGTTTGCTCTGGATGCTAGGGCTCAGGCATCAGGTGTTGCAACTTCCTGGGTTGAGTCACTTGGCTCAGGTGGTACAGCTTCATGAAATGGCTTTCGAAGGCCTACCATTAATGGAACTGCTGTTTGCTGGGACTGAGCTGGGATTTGTATGGGGTCTTTAAGGATCAGCGGATCATTCACCTCTGTAGTGGTTTGTTGAGGGACAAACTCTTGTATTGGTTGTCATGGGGTATATGGACAAAGTCCATAGCATTGTCCCCAATCTCTAAGCGACACTGAAGAGGAATGTCAGTCAAGACAGTCCCACAATATTCAGAGTCTTCAGCATTTCTGTGGTCATTCATTCCTGGTAGATGACCACAACTGCAACATTTATACATTTTTAGTAATATTTAATAACATAAAATGTTCACAGTCTGATTCAGCTGCAGCAAAATAACAACAACATTAATGTCTAAAATCTAAAATGCACAGTTATGACCGTAATAGGATGTTTGGTCAAAAAATAATCATGTCAGAATAAAAAAACAGTGTTCAGCTTGATTTGCAGACATATTCAGTATATTCATTTTTTTAATCAGTGCTGCATGCAATTTTTATGTTAGATACATTATGAATTATTATTATTACCTGGTCAAATATTTATTTTCTACAAGCCAAACAAGAAATAGTTTTTCAGAGCATGAAAAAATGTTTCATCTCTGAGGCCATAAATAAGAGGACTCAGACATCTTGGAGTAAGACTAAACATTATGTAGTTAAAGTACCTGACATTAATAAATAAAATTAAATCAATTTGAAATACAGCAGCTTCTATTAATGGACACCACAGCTGGATGAGACAGAGGAGCAGCTGGAAACCATGAAGAATTACTGTTTTCAGCCCTTTCCATGTTGACTTT